AAGCAAAGCCCAAACCACACCCACTGCATGGAGTCCATTCTGACCCACAGCGCCCCTAGAGGACAGAGTGGAACTGCCCACAGGGTCTCCAAGGCTGTCAATCTTCATGGAAGCAAAGCCCAAACCACACCCACTGCCTGGAGTCAATTCTGACCCACAGCGCCCCTAGAGGACAGAATGGAACTGTCCCTGAGGTTTCTTTATAGAAGCTGTCTGCCTCATCTTCCTCCCTCCAAGCAACTGATGGGTTTAAACCACCGAATTTTTGGTTAGCAGTCAAATGCTAGTTCCAGGGTCTGCCCAGTTGGTAGACTAACTGCCCACCTCTCTAAATAACATTTTCTCCACACACAGCCACACCTGTTCATTCACGCCTGCCTGGTGGCTGTTTTTGCATTCCAATATCAGACCTTGGTAGACCAGGTGGCCTGCAGAGGCCGTGTTTGCAGTCTTGCCCCTCCCAGGACACACGCTGGCCTCTGCCCCACTGTTTCCTTGTGCAGCTGCCGGTCAGCTCTGCACACTTCTGAAACTTACAGTACCCCCTTTGGAGTCCAACCGTGGCATGCCGCCTGCTCCTTCCTCCTGTGTGAGTACACGTAGAACACCTCCTGCCAGTGACAAGCATCCCTGTGCCCCATGAGAGCCAGCTGTAACCTTGCTGTAGCTATGCACAGGTCTGTTGGCTGGGAAATGTCGTCAGGTGTGATGACATCATTCCAGCCACGTGCCCTGAGCCCACGCAGCTGGAAAACGTCTCAGCCCCAGAAGTCAGTCACCATCCCATGGAGGACCATGGGGAAGCTAATCCAGAAAGGACAAAGCTTTGCTCGTTTTCAGGAGGAAGACAGAGTGCCTCCACCTGGCCATGTGTCCACGTCACTGTTTCCTGGGACACAGGGCCCTGTAAGCAGCTGCAGCCTGGCCCCAAGCCAGGTGGCTGCTAAGGTTTTTTTTTTTTCCATCACTGTCTCCTTGTCTGAGGAAGCCATCTGCCCTGCCATCTGGCACCCTGCCTGGTATGAGGTGGGGCTCCATCAATGTTTGTGGGGTGAACCGTAGCATCCCCCAGGTGGCCAGAGGGTCCTAGACGTGTCTTTTCTTTGAGTAAGAAAAGTTTCTGTGGGAGGCTGAAGTGGAAAGCCGTAGAGGGCCCGCACCGGAAATTACAGGACTTCAACAGACTAGCAGGTGTGATTCAAGTCAACATTCATCATCCGGACTAACCGGCTATTTTTCCCTCCCTTTTGCTTTCTTTTAAGGAAACAGAATAGCCAGCCTCTTTATGGACACCGAATTCTTCAGGTTTGTTATTTTCAATTATACATTCTTCTAACCATAACCCTCTCCCACAACTGGTTTCGGCTGAGAACCGTAACCTATGAAGCAAGTCGACCCTGGGAAGACGGACGCCGAGTCTGGAGTAACCAGGAAAGAGAAGAACAAAGCCATTCCTGGCCGTCCCAGGGGTCTTCAGCTGCCATCCCATTATTTGCTCAGGGAGACAGCCATCTTAGAGAAGGGATTCTGTCTCCTTGGGGTCGGTACTCGATAAATCCTTTGCCTTCCGGCGTCAACCTGGTATGATCAACGGCTCCTGGCCACAGCGAGTGAGGACCTTGCTGTCGCTACACGACCATTTCCAGATTGGGCCTAAGCCTCATGGACCCCTTTGCTTCTCGTATGTGACAGCTGGCCATTAACCAGCCCCCCACTGTTGTCCTGGGGCGGGGGGCGGGACAACACCTGGCCAAAGTGCAGAATACTGTGTAGAGTGTACATTCTAAGCAGCTCCATGGCAAGGGGGAGGCCTGGGCGTGCCTGGGTCGCAAACTGCACCGCCTACACGCGGAGCGCGCCTCCGTGCACGGGGACATGGGCGAAGGCAGGAAGGAAGTGGGGGTTCCTCCAAGCCCAGGAGGTCCTGGCGGCGCTGGAGAAGGATCGTGAAGAAGTGGGTGCGCACTCCATGGAAGCGAGGTGGAACAAGGGGAAGAATACTAGACGGAATGTTGCCAGCAGGCCCCTCGCTCTCCGCTCACCCTCCAGCCCGGCTGGTTCCGGATTACAGCTGCATTGAGCGCGGGCATGGTGCTGTTCCCCTGGGCGCCTGGCTCCGGGCCACACGGGGGCGCTGTTCCGGCGCCTGTGCTGCCGTTGTTTGGCGTCTGCCCCCACGTGAGCACCGCCCTGCAGGACAGAGCGTAACGGTGGGCTGTGTCCCAGGGGAGCGGAGGCTGGGCGCCCAGCATCACCCCGTTTCTCGGAAGCCTTGCGCAATGCTCAGTATGTCAAACCTAGGGTGTCAAAGCTCGACTGTTCACTAATTTCTAGGAAAACCAGGTGAGGTTTTTAATGGAATTTGACATTTTTTCTGGCTTCTGCGTTGACAGGACTAAAGAAGTACTTTTTAAGACTAGAAAGGAGTGTTTTACACCTCAAGTCCCGGGAGGCTAGAGACGGCAGGAAACTGTGGGCCCAGCGTGTAATGTCAGGATCTTGTTTTCTGGAAAGGATCATAACTTTTTATTGAATTCTCCATGACCTGCATGACCCACAGGTTAGAACGGGTGGGTTGCAAGGAAAATGAACCATTTTTTCTTTCCCATGAGAATTTGAAAGACAGCTTTCTCCACTCCATGTTCAAAGTAATGCCGTTTTGCCTCCTGCTGGATCTGAACCGCTGACCTTTTGGTTAGTAGCCAAATGCTTTAACAACTATGCCACCTGAGCTCTTCCATTCTACCTTAACAAATCAAACCAAACTCACTGCCATCTAGTCGATTCTGACTCATAGTAAGCCCCTTTGGGTTTCCAAGGCTGTAAATCTTTGTGGAATGGATTGCCCAATCTGCTTTCTGCAGAGTGGCTGGTGGGTTTGAACTGCTAGCCTTCTGGCTAACAGTCAAATGCCTTAGACACTAGACCACCAGAGCTCCTTCCAGTCTACCTTAAAAAAAAAAAAAAAAAAAAAAACACCCACCAAACTCACTGTCCTCAAGTCAATTCTGACTCATAGCGACCCCTCCTTGGGTTTCCACGGCAATATCACTATGGAGGTAGAATGCCCAACCATCCTTCCAAGTGGCTGGTGGGTTTGAACCACCAGCTTTCTGGTTAGCGGTCAAATACCTTAGGCACCCTATAAATGGTCTTGTAGGGAGCATTACACCTTTGAACTTAAGTGACATATGTGGACATCTTGTTTGTGAAAACTGTGGTGTAGTAAATTACATAGTGTGGACTTTCTAGCCATTAGTCTTTGTAAACTCTGTGGTAGAATTTGCCTGTGAGCAACTGAGTAGCTCCTGATTGTTAAAGTTATCCACCTGGGGTATTTCTGTTGAGAATGGCACCAACTAATGTTCTGGGAAGTTTGCTCTCTTGCAGGTGCTTAGAATTCTGATGTTAGGATTGGTTAGTTTGGCCACTCTGCCAGGCTCAAAAAGGAGCCCTCCTGGAGGCAGAAGGGATCTGACTGCTGGCTGAGAAAGACGTGCTGCTGAGAGAAATGTGCTCCTGAGAGACATGTGCTACTGAGAAAGAGACACTGAGAGACATGCACTGCTGGGAGAGAGACTGTTGGCTGAGAGAGACTGAGCGTGTTCCTGAATTTGAACTGTAGCCTGGTGCTTCCCTAATAAATCCTATTATCTGTGAATTCTATGTGGCTGCTGCAGTGAATTATAGAACCCAGCAGAGAGGTGGTGGGTGCTGCGGGAGGAACGGTTGGTGTCATGATTTTTGAAAGGGCTGGAGGGAGGCAGCATGTCTGGCCTCGCAGGAACAGGACTGGGGCTGCTGATGGTGATTGTCTTCCTGTTCTGGGGTTAGAGGTCAGAAGATGCGGCCCCCATGCCCCTTTGGCAAAGACCTACTGATGTTGTTGCCTCCTGGTGATGCCATGCACAACAGAAAGGCGCTGCTCAGTCTTGCGCCACCCCCGATTGGTTGGCATCAGACCACTGTACTTGGCAGAGTTTTTGTGGGTTAATTTTCAGAAGGTCACCAGGTCTTTCTTCCTCATCTTAGTGTGGAAGCTGCACTGAAAGTTGCTCAGACCACAGCAACACACAAGTCTCTGCACAGACAGGAGGTGGCTCTGCATAAGGGGCACTGGCTGGCCAGGACTCGAACCTTGGTCTCCCGCGTGGAAGGGGAGAATTCTACAATTTATTATCACTGCCCTCCAAAGACCCGGTTGTCAGTTCCCATCAAGTCAATTCTGACTCTCGGTGACTTTGTGTCAGACGGAAAGCGAGGTCCAGGAAGGCGAAGTCCCTGTCCATCTCCAGTGACCAGACACAGAGCTACTAACCACGTCTTTGTGGCTGCAGATAGACCCTTGTCTGCTGTGCGATGACCATGATTCAAAACGGAACGGAAAACATGTTGGTTTCTCAGACAGGTTTATTATCGAGGGAAGGAGACCACTGGGGGCACCTGCTTGGAAAACGGCATTGCGAGAGGCCTTCCGGGCCCTGGCCCTGGTGGCACGGACGGCAACGGTCTCAGGTGCCACCCCGAGTGGGGCTCTTCCCAGACCCGCCCGCCTTGGGCAGCCTGGTGGTACTGGGCTGTCGGGGCATTCTCTGGCTGGTCCCCTCCCGGCCGGTCCGCTCTGCCAGGGCCGGGGCTCCAGTGAGCGGAGCACCGCCTTTGTTTCTCCCTGGGAGGACACAAACACAGCAGTTAGGAACCAGGATGACCCCACGCTTACAGCACCCTAACCACACGGTGCTCCTCCAACACCACTCGTCTCTAGCACAGTTTCAAAGCCGGGTCAGCTGGGGACCAGTGTGAGCCGGAGGCACAAGACAGTGCATCACGGAGACGTGTCTGGAGGGAGGAGGACACTGGGAGTGGTCAGGCAAGCAGGAGCTGTGGGCCAGCTCAGGAGGTGACGTCTGAAAGTGACCTGGCCACTCCGCACGCCTGTGGGTGTGTGTGCACCAGGACCGGGCTACCTAGACTTGCTGCAGCACTGCGTCTGCCTCCCTCCAGGTGTTCGCATTTCCAGAACATTTGCACCTGAGCCACCTGCCTGGACTACCAGGTGGGGCTCCTGGTCACCCAGGAAGTGCCTCATCACTGAGCACTTCTCAGATTTTTGGATTCAGGTGTTCCCCCCCCCCCCTCCAATTGTGCTTTGGGTGCAAATTTACAAAGCAGAGTTGTTTCCCATTCGATAGTTCACGCACATTCGATTTCACAGCTCCAATTACAATCCCCGACCATGTGCCCCTCTTGACTATGTCCTCTGACCCGTCCAGCTCTCCCTCCATCTGAGAGCTGCCCCTCTGATGTCTCAGGGTTGACTCATCTCAGAGGTGCACCTTCCTAGGGTAGGTGTCCTGCTTGGGCTGAGAGCCAACCCATGGGCATTAGTCCTTTCTAGGCCCAAAGGGTAACCTAGGGCCATAGTCTTGGGTGTTCCACCAGTCTCTATCTGACTGCCAAGTTTGGTCACTTTTGTGTTTTTGAATTTTGTTCCATATTTTCCCTCCCACTCTACCCAGGGTCTCCAATTTCGATTCCTTTCCGAGTGGTCCATACTGGTAGCCAGGCACCGGATTCAGGTTTTTTATTTTCTTCAATTGTGATTTGGGTGAAAGTTTACAGAGCAGATTGGTTTCCCATTCAACCGTTCATAACGTTTTGTTTCGTGATATTGACGGCAATCCCACAATGCAACGGCTCTCTTCCCGCCTCCTCTCTGGGTTTCCCTTTGTCCTGTGGTGGCCTGTGTGTCGCTGTGACACTGGAAGTAATACACTGGTATTTCTAACAGCAGCAGGGTCCCCCATGGTGCAGAGGCTTCAGCACAATTCCCAGACTAAGTCTAGGAAAGAAGGCCTGGAAAATTACTTCCAGAAGTTACCCAGTGAAAACCCTCCAGATCACAACAGAATCTTGTCCAGTAGGATCCTGAAAGATGAGCCCCTGGGTGGGGAGGCACCCAACATATACAGTGAACACAGCAATGGACTCAAGCCTGCCAACAAACCGTTACCCCTCTGTGTGTTGGGGTTTTGCTATTCCCCCCTTTCCTGCTGGGGGTGGGGAGTGGGAAGGGGCATGAACGTGCGCTCCTGAGAGTCCCCTCAGGCCACCCACCCAGTCAGGGGACAGGAGTGCAGATGACCCGAGGTACCTGCTGCAGCTTACGACCCTTCTCTGATGCTTCGCCCTGAGTAGCTTCTGGCCCCCAGCTCGTTGCCTGTCACCCGTTGCCCCAGAGCAATCCACACACCCAGTTCTGCAGGAAACCTACAGCCCATCAGTCTCAGTGCCCACAACCCCCTTAGCACACCAGGCCACCAAACCAAAATCTAAACCTACTGCCATGAGTTGATTCCAACTCACAG